ATCATATAAATATTTATTTACAATTCAATTTATAACATTTGAAATTATATAACAAATTTATTTACTATCATAAAAAATTTTTATTAATACATCTTAAAAATTTTTGAACTTTTTTGCAAAATTGAAATGCAATAATTAAAATATTTTTCAATATTTTTGTCTTTATGTTAGATACGAATAATGCTAATACGAATTTCGCGTTACATAAATTAAAGATAAAACTTTTTTTAGGATAATTACATTTTTTACATACATTCATTTTCATTTACATACATGAACATATTTGAATATAATGTGCTCAACGATGTAACGCGCAATTTCTATTGAACAAAAGAAAGTTTACAGCATTTTTCAATATTAGACGTTTAATCATCAATTATGTTAATTGATAGGATGTATCATATCACGAGATACCTATTAATTTGTGAAAACGAGGTTGTCAGTATGTAATTTAACGGGAGTTCGATAGCATATGTAAAGTAAATACATACCATGAGTCGAATCTATGAAGATCACGTTAATTTCTTTTCAAATCGTAATCGTTATTAAAAAGAGTTGTACAAAAGGTCTACATAAATATACAATCACTTCTAGGAATTGTAATATGTACAAGACTTGTCAAAGAGCATAATACTACGTTGTAACTATCTCATGACAATAAAATTTTTCTAGTGGATAATATATAAATTTACAAAGCAGAAAAACTTTAGGGGCGGAAACAGTCCCCTCATCTTCATTCTTTTTCCTTGAACACAGATGTGTCATGTGAATTATATATAAAATGGGCATAGAAAAAGTGATTCTGTTGAGAATTTTGAGTATAGTGCATTGATCTGCTATATCCCTAGTACAGTAATTCTAAAATATTTTGGTCATTTATAGTCTTGATATATTTAGGAACGCTTCTATTACTTACGAAATATTTCATCGATTTTAGTAGTTACAGTTCAGCAATTGTATTCTAATATTTAAAAATATGTATAAATTGTTCATTTATTGCAAAACGCAAAATTATAACAGTAGACACATGATTATATTTTGATAACAAGGAATGCTATTTAAATTTATGATTATAGAGATTATTTTCTTTTTAACTTGGTACTACTGATTTTATTATATATGTCACAGTATATAGAACATAGACTATTTTAACCATGGCGGGAATCTGATAAATGAGAAGAATGTAAACATAACCTAGTCAGTATAATCTTATCGCAGATATTCCGCGATTTATGAAATGCTGGTTTGCATTATCATGGTAAAAGATAACAGGTAGTGAAATAGTTATGATACCATGCAGTAAAATGCATAATAATATATGTAATCGTCATAATAATTTAGACAGTAATATACAGATAATTTTCTAAATAGCACTGAATTCAATTTTTGAAATTGAATTTGCGGCTGTTTAAGCGCTCCTAGATTCCATGTTATAGATTCTGCGCAATGTAAATTAGAAATGGTTAAGAATTGAAATCTGACTATAGAAACAGAGATATGACGTTTTTTACTTATTTTAGTGTGTGATTTCTAAATTTGAATGAATCTTGCAAATTCGATTTTATAAAAACTTGGGAGTATCAAATAAATGTTTCTATAAATATTATTTGGTATAAAGTTATATTGAGTAATGTAAATTACTTTTTTCAGATCGTTTGTTTTTGAAATTTTGAAGTCATTTGTTAAGACAAATACTTACATACTATATAATAAATACATAATAAAACTTACATACGAGGTCATGTTATTATAAATTGTTAAAAATAAATGAATTATTAGTTTAAAGTTTATTTAATGAATTAGTTTAAATAAAATGGTGAAAATAAATCGTACAGTTTTTAATTTTCAAGATCATGATTGATCTGATCATGAAAAAAAATTGTTCAGTAATGGAAAAACTTCTCTTCGCCGAGATATTTGGATTTTTACAATTTTCGAGAAGAAAAGTATTATTCTTACTTTTACATTTGCTGCATGATGTAAAAATAAATATTTTTGAACGAAACACACTCAGGGTTGTTAAAATGCACTCTTTAAAATAAAATCAAATTAATTGTTCTATAATTTTTTTCACGAAATTATAACAGTTTAAATTATCGATGATTTTTCATCGAGTGTATAAATTCGTTTTTTTTAAAGAATTTCTTATGAATTTTTTTTCGAAAGTTAATTTAGATGAGAATCTTTTATTTTTTATTCCAAGTTATCATTTAAGATGAAACGCATGATTTTCGTGTGAACAGCGCCCCAACGGTTGCAAAATATGGAATACACTTCCTACGACTCTCGAAAATATCGATATTTCTCACGATTGATTTTAAAACAGGAAAAATGGCGGAAGGAGGTACACCTCCTCTGTAAAGAAGGAAATATTATCCAAAAGAATCATCTAGAAAGACGTATCAGAAGTTCTCAAGTAAAAAATTAAATCAATAGTTAGATTTATTTTTGTGTTTTGTATTTTTAAGGAAAAACGTGTATTTTTGGTATCAACTCAAGGTAAGATTTAACCAAATAATTATTATATATAATTTTCAACAATTAAAGAAATAATAGAATATAAACATTTAAATAGAAATACAATGTTAAAAGTTATTTATAATTTTAATACCAAATTTATAATACCAAAATTTAATTTCAGTTCTAACTAGTACAAGTATTGTAACCTTGCAATTGACTAATTCATTGTTACATATTTCACTTAATTAGATTTTTTTTTCAAATGAATTTTGATCTGAAACAGAAATTTGATCTAAAATAGCGGTGAAATGATGGAACTAAATTAACGACGTATTTTTTCTTCGGTTTATTCTTCGAAATTAAATGATACTACTCAGTAGATGGCAGCACCTGAAATACATCATTAATTTAGTTCTATAGTTTCACCGCGGCGCTGGTGTTTCAATGTCCATGAATCGATCAAATTTTCATTTGTGGCGAAAACTAATGAAGAGGTTTAATTTGCAAACTTTTTTAATTAGATCGAAATTAAATCCCTCAGATTTCTTCCAAACCTCCGTTTAACCTGCATCTACAAAAATTTACAGATTCCATTCGATAGATCGGAACACATACTCGCGAACAATATTTAATTTCTAGCATTTAATTACTTTTTTTTGAAATTTACGATCAAGATTGTTTGTGAACATTAATTAGAAACATATACGATAAATTTCATGCGTAATTTTGAATATAATTCTTTATTTAATCGATCACTTATTTCACGTATCATTAAAAAACTGCAAAATGAATAAAAATAATTTCATTAACGACATAATATCAGGATGAATGGCTTTTCATATGAGTAAAGATAACAGATAGTTTGTTGAAAGGAATTTATTGTTACAGAAATATATTACCTTTATGTGTAATCACATGGTTAAAATTATCGAGGAGATATTGGTATTTCGAGACATTTCAATGTAAAAGGTGATAAAATTAAAACCTTTAAATTACACCAGTAGCTTTCCTATATTGACCAAAGTGTTCTAGATATTGCTGTATTGTATCCAACGGTTGGTAAATATCGTTCATTCGGTTCTGTAAAAAGATAAATGATTTTTATTTTTTTTTCTTTCCCACTAGAAAACTACTGACGTCCTATTTTTCTGAAATACGTGTTATTTATTATATTACCTGCAAATATTGTGGCGCTTGATTGGACACGGTAGATCCGAGGAACCCCTGCAAAAATTCGCGCATCAATTCCCATGCACTTCCGGGCACGACACACGGTCTATACTCCACCTGTAAAAGATGCAAAATAATTACTTTGATATATATATTCATTGTTAATCAAATCAATGGAAAAAAGTGCACGGGCACGGGACATTATTTTTTTTTTATTTTACTTCTTTTTTCACGGAAACGATCTCGAGATACGAGGTCGAAATGAAGCATAACAGTCCTGGACATAGCGATTAACAAAATAATTACTTTAATATATATTTATTGTCAGTAAAAGAAAAAAAAAATACATGGGAACAAAAAAAGGAGGTGTGTATTATAAAATAAAAGAAGAATATCCTATTTTATTTCTCTTTGTACAAAAATGATCTCGGTCAAAGCACGGTCAAAGTAACGAAGACAAAGGAAATCTCTGTAAAAGTGAAGAAATATTAGTCGAAATGAAAAATAACAACTGTGGACGAGAATTAAATTTTTAGAATTAAATTCGTCGTCCTGACGGCAAGATATCTTCGGTTGGAAGTATGAGCGCTCGAGGGAACGTCTGCTGGTTTGCAACATACGTCAACCACCGACACGCTTTTCTCGTTCCGTGAACTTGTTTAACAAGTAATTCTCCGACCGAAAACGCCTCGTGTCTTGTTATGATTAACAGGCTAATTTAATTTGACTGCGAATGATTCGAAAGTACAACGATGAATACGATGACAGGAAATCGTCGAGTAGAAAGTGAAATATTATCTCTTTTATCGTAACAAAATCTTAGCATACGATTAAGTTATTTGGAATAACAAGTAAACCTAACGGATTGAAATAGCGTGTCGACTATCAGAATCAGGGTTAAACATGTAAGACGAACCGATCGCGATCGAACCACTCGTTCTTTTCGCTAGTTACACATATTTCTTTTTGTGCACTCGCTGATCAAGATCGTGTCCAGTGGCATCAAAAGAAGCAACGGATTCTATCGGAATCGATATTCGACTGATTGCCTCGAACTTTCGATCGACGACGAACCAACTCTTAAACGAACTTTTAAAATGTCACGAATTCATGGCCTGGAAATATTGAAGAATCATAAATTGCATATTATTTTACTCGCTTATAAATTCGTTCGAGGAGAATCTTACAAACGATAAGATGAAGATTTATGAATTTAAAACGATCGTGGAAACGACCACGGGATCATCTTTTTTACGAAGAATAAGCATCTAGCGGCGATTTCTCCAGCGAACGCGAAACATTGAAGGAACAAGGAAGATGGCGAAGAAGCGAGTTAGTAGGGTTCTACTAGGGCGTAGTATTTTCTCGAGTGAAATTAATGGGAGAGCCGGGGGTTTTATCGTAACGTATTCGATGTCGCGGTGGAATACAAACAGCGCTGTTACCGATACGAATAGCTGTTGGATCGGTCCGAGGGCGCCATCGCCGTTAGTCCGAGTTGTGAAACGGAAGTCACACCATTCTCACAGTATTGCGAGAAACAATTGAATTGTAATATCGGCTATTAAAACGAAATCGGCTTTAATTAAAGAAAATGCTTTTTAAACGTTCAGGAGTATCTCAGTTCATCAAAGAGAATTAATATCGCAAATGTTTTCGTATCGACCGATTTATTTCACACGTCTCTGCAAGCTAAAATTTCACAGAGACGTGAGCGAAATTCTCTCACGCGATAGGTGCAGGAACGAAACGTTCGTTCAGAAATAAATCGAGCCGCGAATCGAAAATCGCGTTTTGCGGAAACTTAATTTTCTATCGCCTATCGAAGCCTAACGTAGCTTAGTCATTTAATAAATATTTCTTCATCGTGAACCTTCACTCGCCATTCAATTCTTAACGAATTACTCCTCTACGGCGTGTTTATTTATAAAAATCGAGATGCGTTGAGCAGAAATGATGAAAGATGCTACCACGGTACCAATGAAGTTTCAAAACACAAGACATACATTCGGAATATATTCGGATAAATGTCTGTACGAGCTTGCGAGGTACTTTCGTGAGCGACTGCACAATATTTCAACGTTGTCAGCGTTCGACAGACGACGCGTTACGGTCGTAGCCGTTTCGTGAACGCAAATCGAATTCTTCCGGCATCTACGCTTTCACGCCGTGGGATTTAATTGAAGTTCAATCGAAAAGTTGGACCGAGATTGGAAAGGAAGCCGGCCCCGGGCACGCCGCCGGCGATATTCGTCACGGACAGGCAGAGAAGAGGCTCACACGTGTATTGAATCTCACGGTGGACCGAGCTGTCAATCGATATTGCCCCGCGACCGTCACGTGATCGGCACACAAGCCGTGTTCGGAAGTAGCGCAGCCCTATTCCGCCAGTTTCCAAGTTTAATCGCGAGTTAATTAGCTGGCGTGATCCTTCGGAATCCCTCCTGGCAACGATAGACGGCTCCTGCTAACGAGTTTCGCGAATATCAGCCGAGCCAGACATCTGCCGCGATTATTCATTCAACCGATTATCCGGCCGAAAGTTCGCCGCCTGCTGTGAAAAATTATCTCGAAACTCTTTCACTGCCTCATCCTGCTTCATCCTGCATGGATTTCTCGCGTCATCTACGGGGTTAGTTTATTTCACATTTTCTGGGGAAAGACGAGAACCGCTTGGACGTCCGAGGGTCATCAATCTCGGTTTCGGTTTATCGTGGACAACATCGTATACGTTTACCTCGACCAAAACGCCTTTGAAGTTCTGATTGATCGTCACGCTGCCGAGTTTCACGCAGAAGTCGCCGATCTCGAAACGCGGCCCCTTCGACTCCATCTTCTGCATTTTGTTCGTGTAGACGCTCGACATCTTGTACATCAATAGGTCGAACAGGCCGTCCGCTATCAGCGGGACAACCTTGTTTCCCGATTCTAGAATCGCGAACGCCGACGCTGGCTGCTCGGAGTTGTGCAGAACGTGAAGCGTTCGTTGGACACCTTGAACAAAAGACAATGATTGGTTCCAGATTAGCCTCGGATT